CACTCCAAATTCATCATTCAAATCAAATAAACCTTAAAAAAAAAACGAAAAAAACGAAAAAAACGAAATAAATGTTTTTTTCGAAAGTTTTCGAAGTTAAAAATTGCCCGCGAAATGAATGAATTTTCCCATGAATTCCCGGAATTATTCAGAAGAAATGAACCTCTTTTTGACGCTATTCCATGCTGTGCGCTTCAGCTTAATGATACCCTCTGCCAGAAAGGGTCAAATGACGAGCTAGCACAAAGAAAAGATGCATCAAACGAGTTCACGCGATTTTTTCAACAATTCTTGTAGCTTTTGAAGCCCAAATTTTCCCATGATCTTAGCTGGAGTGCACAGCGTGTTTTGGTGAAAAAAAAATCGAGAATGTTCGAGAATGGGTTGGTGAATTTTCCCATGAATTCCCGGAATTATTCAGAAGAAATGAAGAATTTTAACCCTCTTTTTAACCCTTTTTGACGCTATTCCATGCTGTGCGCTCCAGCTTGAGGATACCCTCTGCCAGAAAGGGTCAAATGACGCAGCTAGCACAAAGAAAACGATGCACAAAGATGCATCAAACGAGTTCACGCGATTTTTCTCAACAATTCTTGTAGCTTTTGAAGTCCAAATTTTCGCATGATCTTAGCTGGAGTGCACAGCGTGTTTTGGTGAAAAAAAATCGAGAAAAAGTAGGATTTTTATGGCGAGTACTTTTTGGTAGACTGGATTCGATTTTGAATTTGATTTCGCAAAAATCGGGAATCTCTTTGATTGGAAATGGTGCAGTGCCTGCCAGATAGCGGGAATATCATTTCAACAAATTGCATATTCTTTGAAATTTCGATATTTTTAAGTCAGTCCTGTAACGACAAAAAATAGTCGCCAAAAAAGGATAAATGCAAATATCAATAAAATAAATGCAAAACGTAGCCAAAGACAATGCAAAGCAGGATACTGTAATTGTAAATAGCATACGATTAAAGAATAGGTATCTTTTCCAGTGAAAAACAAGCTTTTTTTTTTCTTTTGGTCATGCTCAAACAGGACTGGTCGTTTTGGCGGGCTCTCGAGAGGTTTCGAGTGAAACGAGTGCCACCGCTTTTCATCATGGAGCGCACAATGAGTTTTGGCGGCGGAATTTCTTTTTGTTTCTGAGCCCGAAAAAAGAAAAACTTTACATAATTAGTGGGGGAGGAACGGCCCGAAAATTCGGCCATTTTTGGCCATTTTCGAATACGAATTCTCGCAAGTAAACAGCCTTTTCTAAACATCCAAAAGCTGCAAAATAAAACGATCAATTCGTTTTTTTTGCTAAAATTTCGAATTTAAGCAAAAGCAAAAATTTCAACAAAAATTTCAAAAAAAATTTTTTCTGAAACTTTAAAATTTGCTTATGACGGCGAAAATATGATGACCAAAATGTGGTGTGACATCCAGATTAGGGTTTGGATAGGTTTGGATAGGTTTGGATAGGTTTGGATAGGTTTGGATAGGTTTGGATAGGTTTGGATAGGTTTGGATAGGTTTGGATAGGTTTGGATAGGTTTGGATAGGTTCGGATAGGTTTGGATAGGTTTGGATAGGTTTGGATAGGTTTGGATAGGTTCGGATAGGTTTGGATAGGTTTGGATAGGTTTGGATAGGCTTGGATAGGTTTGGATAGGTTCGGATAGGTTTGATAGGTTTGGATAGGTTTGGATAGGTTTGATAGGTTCGGATAGGTTTGGATAGGTTTGGATAGGTTTGGATAGGTTTGGATAGGTTTGGATAGGTTCGGATAGGTTTGGATAGGTTTGGATAGGTTTGGATAGGTTTGGATAGGTTCGGATAGGTTTGGATAGGTTTGGATAGGTTTGGATAGGTTTGGATAGGTTTGGATAGGTTCGGATAGGTTTGGATAGGTTTGGATAGGTTTGGATAGGTTTGGATAGGTTCGGATAGGTTTGGATAGGTTTGGATAGGTTTGGATAGGTTTGGATAGGTTCGGATAGGTTTGGATAGGTTTGGATAGGTTTGGATAGGTTTGGATAGGTTCGGATAGGTTTGGATAGGTTTGGATAGGTTCGGATACGGTTCCAATATGGTTCCAAAGTCAAGTCAAATTTTTTAATCAAAATCGAAATTTTCTTTCAAAATTGACAAACATGACCTCCAGGATTTTGTTTTCATTTGAAAAAAATACTTTAATTTTGGAGAAATTTCGATAAAAATCGAGCAACTCGTTTGACGAGCAAAACCACCGCTTGATGGTGGCTATTTTGGTGCGCTGAGCTCGGGAAATTGAGTTCTGGAACGCACAGCACCAAAAAAAATTGACGGCCATGCATTTGGGAAGAGTTTGTGAAATCGACAGGAGTCGAAAGTCTAAAGGACTGTATTGTAGTTATTAGATGTTTTTTTTAGAAACTGAAAAATTGACTTGATCAAAATGTGATGTGATATCCAGATCAGAGAATTTTAAAAAAATTAACTGAATATATTTATTGGGAAAAGATATTCAGCCAAGAGATCATTTGCAGGTTAAGTGATGAAAATAAATGATGAAATTGATTAAATTTATTAGCCCAAAATGTGATGTGACATCCAGATCAGAGAGTTTTAAAAAAATTAACTGAATATCTTTACTTGGAAGAGATATTCGTCGAGCGAACGTTGTTGACATCGAACTAGCAAATTATCTGTATTCACCCCATCATGAAACCTATCCAAACCCTAATCTGGATGTCACACTACATTTTGGTCTTCGTATTTTCGCCGTCATGAGCGCGTTTCGAGAAATGAGATTTTCGGGTCCAAAGTCAACAAATCAAGAATTATAGAGTTAACGAAAATCGAAAACTATTCATTTAGATCGCCACGCTGCCTCCCATAGTACACGTAATTAACGACGAAATGGCATTATCGCGTAAATTTCGCCTCTTTTTGCACCAGTCCTTGAACGCGGCCGGACTGAGCCCTATTTTCAGCTCTTTTCACCACTTTTCCCTTTTCTTTCTCGTAAATTATATTACTTTTATTAGCTTTCTCTATTCAATTCATGAATAACAACCCTGGACGAAATGAAAAATAAATTTTGAGATTTCGGAATAATAAATTTTCAGCAAACAATTTTTCGAAATTTTAAAATCGAAATTTTGAAAATTTTGAATTACGACAATCCCAGAGTGACTTCCAGCTAAGAAACTAGCGATTTGAGATTCCCTTAAAAGTCGAAAGCAGCTGAGAAATCGGCTTGATCAGCGGTCATCGATTTATTCGACTGCATTTCTTGAGATCGAAAATTTCATCGATTTTTATCTAAAAGCTGGATATCATTCTATTTACTCAAGAATTTTGAGCAAAATCCGAAACATTTCCCTCATAGCGCAGTGGATAGTGCGCTCGGCTACAAGGCGAATGAGCCGGGCTTTGAGCCTGGTTCAATCCCGGTCGCCGTTTTTTTTGTTCTTTGGCTTTGTTTTTGATGTTTTTTGATGTTTGATACGTCTAAGAATTTATTCAAAGATAAAAATTCACAATTTGGAAACTGATCGATTTGAGAAATGAGCTTTTTTTGACAAAGAGAATCGATGATTCAAAAAAATTCCAAAACGAATCCAGTATCTACCGGTGAACGGGGAAACGATGAAATGACTTCCAGATAAGAGTTTTCACGAGGGAAACGATGAAATGGAGAGCGATGAAGGGGCGAAAAAGCCTCAGAGTCGTGAGACGCGACGATTTTGAGCTCTTTTAACGGTTGATTTTGGCAAATTGGCAAATTAAAGCTTTTTTTTCACGATTATGGAACTCACACGAAAGTTTGATAAGAGCAAAATTAGGGAAACTCATTTTTTTTTTCTCATTTGAGCAAGTGTCATTTTTTCGATAAGTGAACCGCCGCCACGCGTGCGCTGCTCTCTCATCTTTTTGGCAACGTTTTGAGGGGAAATTTACATAATAATATATATAAATTAGCATATATATAGATTGGCTAATTGATTAGCTGAATATCTTGGAAAAAAAAGGGTTTTTGAGAATTAAATAGGGACAAAAAGAGATCGAGCTTATTTTACGACAAAAACTACCGTAAACCGAGCATTCTAACAAATGGATATTCAGTTATGGATGTCATGTAATATAATAAGAATTTAAAAACTTCGTTTCTATAAGTTTTAGATTACTGTAGATTACTGTAGAAAGCCGTAGCCACTAATTTTTCTAAAACACATAGAAACTAAGTTTTTAAATTCTTATTATATTACATGACATCCATAACTGAATATCCATTTGTTAGAATACGCGGTTTACGGTAGTTTTTGTCGTAAAATAAGCTCGATCTCTAAAAAGCTTATAGATTACTGTAGAAATATCTAAATATCAATTAGAAGGTCTAAAAATAAGTGAAATACTTACCGTAATCTAGAAAATGTACTGTAATCCTATCGTAATTCTACTGTAAACCTATCGTAATCCTACCGTACTTTAACACCTTCGCGACGAGACGTTTTTTTTTGCGTTACTGCCCCAGTGGACGAGGGGTGTCTATTATCGTCTATTATCGTCTATTATCGTCTATGTCTATGTCTATTATCGTCTATTATCGACGAGGGGCGTCTGTCTCTGGGGCGGGAGGGGTTTTCGTCCGATGGACCACAATTTCGTCCACCGGTCGTCCACCGGGCCGAACCGTCCCAGGGGTCAGACGGCCTTCGTCCACCGGTGGACAGAATCGTCCCGAACGTGTTAAGGGAAAAGAGTCGCCTGAGAGAGTGCGCATAGCCGGCCGTGCGTCAAAAAGTAATAAAATGGAAAAACTCAAAAAAATCAAAAAATCAAAGAATCATCATTTCAAGTGACATCCAGGATTGATAAAAATTGAAAAAACTATTCAAAAATATTCAGAGAAACGCGAGAAAAATGGGTCAAGTCGAAAAAAGTGATTTGTTGAGTGAAATGGGCAAATAGTGATATTGTTTTTGATGAAAGGGCTTTCTTTTTGGTGATTATGGAGGGCATTGGAGGGGTTGGAGTCAAGAAATCGACGGTCGGAGCGCGGTGATCTCGGCGTCCGCCTCATCCCCGTCCTCCGGGGCCACTGTACCCGCTCGAGACTCCTGTAAACGATGAAATTTGCATTTCTTAGACTCTCTTCGAGTTACATGACGTCCATAACTGAATATCCATTTCTTAGAACCGTTGGGTTACGGTAGTTTTTGTCGTAAAATAACGTCAACTGCTTCACAAGTTCCCAAGATTTTTAAATGCGAAAATTCGGGAATGATTTTGACTTTATTCGACGCTGTGATATCCAGCTTGAAGGTCGAAAAATTCTAATTGTAAAAACCTTAAACTGCACCGAACTCGGCGCCTCTGGACTTTGAGTGTTCTTTGTGCAAAATCCTCTTTCTAGCGCACTATCTTGCTTTTTTCGTACCTCATCAATTGTGTGGATCTGGCCCATCGCGTGGCCGATCATGATTTCGGTCGGCTTTCCCGCAATCCCTGACACCATTATCGATTGCCGGGCGGTCAGCATTCGAGCTAGATTTTTGGTGATTGGGTTGAGTTTTTTGAAGAAATAAAATTTTTTTTAGCCATTCTGGATGTCACTAGGATTATTTCAAAGAAATTTTCGAGAATTTAGCAAATTTGGAATTTTTTTATGTTCTGGTTCAGGACTGGCTGCATAAAGTTGTTATTTTCCCAAAAACCAATAATTTCAACAATCTATCTATAAATAATGGATGTCATTCTATTATCCCAGAAATTTTCGACTAAATCCGGAAAGATGGCGCTAATGGCACTAATGGCGCAGTGGGTACAGGGGGGGTCGGTTACGGGGCGAGCGACCCCTGGGTTCGGGGTCAGGTTCGATTCCGGTCACGGTTTTTTTGGATTTTTTGGATTTTTCTTTGTTTTTTTCAGTTTTCCTCTAAAATACCTGTGGCAATCTTGATTTTCTCCTTATTTTTCTTTTCTTCCACATCCACAAACCAACAACACAAATAGCGTTTGAGAAGATCGCGAAATAACTGAAATTTTTTGATTTTTGATTTTTTTTTGATTCTTTATTTTTTATTTTACTTTTAACCTAGTTTTAAACCATTTTTAAACGATTTTCTCGCTAAATTCGGAGACTTTTGCTTCTTTTTCAGCATTTCCAAACGAAATTCGATCCCCTTTTGGTTGTTTTGACTCTCGTCGCCCACTCAAATCTTTCTTGACCCCAAAATTCTCTGAAAACTTCTCAAAAAGTATTTTTTGAAGTCAACAAACCCCGAACTGGAACGCACACGAAAATTTGAGTCAAAAATTTTTTGGCTAACGTTAATTTAAAAGTTGAGCAAAGTCAGTGCACAAGATTGGGTGTGTTTATGCTGAAAAAAAGAGTTTTCGGTGAAATCTAACCGTAAAAAGTTTCAATCTGGAAGTCACTACCCCCGTTGAAACCCTAAAAACTTTAATAACTTTAATTTAAAAGTTGAGCAAAGTCAGTGCATAAGATTGGATGTGTTTATGCTCAAAAAGAGAGTTTCCGGTGAAATCTAAGCGCATAAAGTTTCGATCTGGAAGTCACTGCCCCCGTTGAAACCCTAAAAACAATAGCGAAGAGGCTTTTCTGGGAGTGACCAGATTTCTGGGTGTCAGGTGCCCCTCGAGAGATCTAAAATCACTGAAAACCCTTTCATGAGGCCCCGATTTGCGTCATGTGCGCTCCAGCTTCGCCGAAAAAAGCGACAAAAATGATTGTTGTCAAGAAGAAAGAAAAGATTTACGCTTAAAGTTTTTTTTTGGCGAAAATGGACTATTTTTTGTTTGTTTTCAGTAAAGAATTAATGAAAAGTAATAAATAAATAAAATTTTTTAATTTAAAATGATTTTGTAAATGAAATCGACAATTTTTCGCTACAAAAATAAATCAATTTGCGGATTTGGCCTAGTCGCTTAAGAAAAAAAGCGGAATCCAAGGAGATTTGGAAAAGAAAAAAGAGAACGGGGAAAAGATTGGATTTGAGATGAAATGAGAAATGAAAAGTCTGCTGTGATAGCCAATTTGGAAATAGGGGAGGCTTTTGAGTTTTGCTTGTTGAGGGAATCTCGGTAAAATAGCGTGAACTCGATTCGAGTAACTGAGCTTTTTTTAAATGCTTTTTATTGAATATCCTTTACTACCATTTTATAATGTGCTATCCAGCTTGGAGAATGGCAAAGTTTAGAACTCGGAAAGTTACAAGAATCCCGGCAAAATGAGTTGAACTCGATTCGGCTAATTGAGCTTTCTTTAAATGCTCTTTATCAAATATTCTGTACTGCCATTTTATAATGTGCTATCCAGTTCGGAGAATGGCAGATTTGAAAACTCGGAAAGTTACAAGAATCTCGGCAAAATGAGCTGAACCCGATTTCATCGCTTTACTTGGATACTTTGGAGTCTTTGGATGTTTTTTTGTGCTCCCGGGTAAACGCGCTTCTTCTGGTGCATTGTACTTTTACCTAATCTCTTGTTTTCTACATTTCCGGTAAATATTTGAAGAAAAAGAAACCTGTGGTGAGGCACAAATGACAATGACGGCCATCCATCCAAACAAAATGCAGAGACCAAAAATGAAAATTCGAAAAGATTCGTTGTCCATTGTGTCCTGTGACCTCCAGATGGACGGATTTAATTGAAAAAAGTAGAAAAAAATTCAGTTTCCGGGAGTTTATCTCACGACGAACGGTCGAGACATTTGATCACTGAAAAAAACAAAATTTCATTTAAAAAAAGTTAAATTTCATTTTCAGTGACTTCCAGATAAGAAAGAAAAATCGAAAAAAGACACAGAAATGGTGGAAAAGACGAAGAAAATGTAGCGAACTCATTTCGAAAAACGGATTCTCTTAATTTTTGATATATAATAAAGAAAAAAAATAGGGAAAATGAGGAAATAGGGGAATTTAGGTGCACACCTCCACAGGTTAAAGAATAAAAGAAATGAACAAATGACTTTTGATGAGATGCTACCGTATTTCCTCTAATAAACGCCCCCTTGACCAACTTTGGACGCTTCGTTCTCAGCCCCATTTTGAGGTATTTTTATGTTTAATATATCAAAAGATAGCCCTTAATGTCTTCTATCTTTTCATATATTAAACATAAAAATATCTCCAAATGGAGCTGAGAACGAAGCGTCCAAAGTTGGTCAAGGGGGGCGTTTATTAGAGGAAATACGGTAGCACTTATATGTCCTATATTATACAAACTACCGCCATAAAATTCGCGATTTACCCGTTATTCTCAGAACCGACGAAATAATCGATTTGCCGTCGATTCCTTGAACGCACAAATATCGGAGAAGCGCATCGTCGTTAAAGTTTGAAAAAGAAAAAAGCGTTGCAACGGGTTGAAGAATGAGAAACATGAAAATTGACTTGCGTTTTGGGGACATTTTGGGGCTCGTAACTCGACAACGACGGGGGTCTAGAACGAAAAACGAAGGGATAACTTTTATTCTAGAGACTCTTACGAACATTTTGATACAAA